ATAAAATATGATGAATAGGACCTGGGATAATTATATTTGAACTGGTATTATGAAAAATGGGTAGAAATTGGCTTTTTTTTTGAGAAACTGGTATGTAAAATCAGGGTAGAGCTAAAACAACTGGTATGTAAAAATGGGTATTGTAAAAATAAGTGGTGTGGAAATTTTGAGTATTTTTTTAACATAACTGGGATGATATAAATGGGTAAAATAAGTTGGTTGTCATGCAGGGGTTGGGCACATGTGACCGAGTTATCAAATAAAAAAAGGGGTGAAATATTTTGGACGCGTTTTATATTTTTTTTCTTAAATAAAAATTCAAAAGAAAAACTTCTTCAACATCCATTTGTTAGAGAAATTGTTAATGAATTTCAAGTGATATGTAAATGTGGTAAAAAAATTAAATTAGATCATAAATTTGATCCAGACTTTTTGGAAAGACATTCCAAATTCATCTGGTAGTTTTCATTCTTATATTAATCAACCTATTACAGATATAGATGCAATTAGTTGTGTATCTAGTATTGTATTTTTGCAATTAAGAAGAAATTTGATTACAAGCCAGTATGAGAAAGGAAAATTTTTATTTAGCCATTTATCATCAAAACAAATATTATATTATGTGGGAAATCAAGTTATTTATCATCATGATATGATTACTTTGCATTCATTTGCATTAGAAATTTTTAATATTTTAAATCAATCAGAAATTCTTTCTTGCATTTTATGTTGTATGAATCTAAAAAAAATTTAAAATAAATATATAAAATTTTTTAACTGGGGTGAAAAAAAGGGTATAAAAAATTAGATTTACACACTGCTATGATAAAAATGGGTATAAATGGCATTAACTTTTGGGATAGAGTTTATGTATTATGACAGTTCAAATATTATTGATTTTGATCGTGTAACAAGGAATAGGGAAACAATAATACTAATACAGTAAGTATTAGTATATTTAATACTTTATGTTTTTCCTTTTTTGGTCAATCAATTATTTATTTTTTTCTCTTTATTCTTTCAAAGAAATCTTTCCTTTTTTAATTAGATTTAATCATGTTGTTGGTCATCAAAGATCCTTTTTTTTTTATATATATTGTACTTTCTTTTAACATTTTCATTATTTTCACATTAACATTCATTTCATCTATTAAACACAAACGTTTGCCATTTCACACTCGCATTCCACATCACCCATATAGTT